CAGAGAACGCTAACGTATTCGAAGATAGGGCGCTCACAGTTGCACAATATAATATAGAGTTTTTGAGAGACGATACCAAAAAGAAATCAAGTGGGGTAAAATTATATTTGTTTCATATTATACATTGGAAACCATTATTCTTAATTTGTGTATGTATCAAAAATATAAATCCTTAAAAAATAATCCTTTGTTTGAAATAATTTTCAATAATTTAAAATTTCAAGCGTACAAAAATAAATTACAATATTGCATAGGTGAGAAAAGAAAATTCTTCAAAATAATCTAATGTTATTAATAATATAACTTACTATAGTACTAACTATATAGTATTAAGTTCGATTAACTTGATGACCATGGTTGAGTATAAAACTTTAATAAAAAAGCAGAATAAAGATGTGTAAGTAGTAAGTAAGTTTATTGCGTTATAGATTGAAACACGTCAGACTCTTGTCGTGTTATAATTACAACAATGATGTAATATATTGCAAGTTACAACAAATTATTACGTTGTCGGTTTCTTCGTATTATAAAAGAAAAAACATTAGTAGTAAGTACCCTATGGCCTATAGGTATTCAATTATATATACCTTAACTTGACAGTTAACCTACTAAAACTATTTATTATTTGAGTACCTTTGATAACTATAAGATTTGTAAAATCATTACATTTTTTTTTATAAATAAGGCGTACAACTATTTTGACTAGTTTAAATGTATATTTTATTTCCCTCACACCCATCTCAAGAGATTATAAATATACCCCTCGACATAAAACTGTTGGTGCGTACTACATAGATAGATAGATACCTACTACAATTAAATATTAATTATTCCGTAAATTATTTTATAATAATAGTTTTAAAATAAAAACACATTGTGTATTGTTAGTTGTTACTAATATATAGATGGCTACTGTGTATGTAAATTATTATATATTATAGACATACTTACTCCTATAGTTCAATACTCGACGGATACTACCGCAAGTATTTTTTTTTTTTTTTTTTTTTATTATATTATATCCGCGGCGACTATGGCCATTGGACGACATTAATGCTATACAATACTATACAGGGTTAGAAATTGTTGTATATAGATACATTAAATATGAAGGAGAAGAAAAAAAAGAAAAATAAAAAAAAAAATACAAGAAAGAAAAGACAGTATAACATAATATAACTTAAATTTTGTTGAGAAGTCCTGTGTTGTGTAAAAAAACCAACGTCGTTGTTAGGTTGCTCTGTTCGGGGCTGAGTGATTCGGCTAGCTGGTCCGGAAGGTTCAGTTCCCTCCTTTCGTTTTCATATCTTCGGCATTCTGTGAGGATGTGTTTGACAGTAAGTAGGGAGCCGCATTGGGTGCAGATGGGAGGTTCTTCTCCCTTCATGAGGTGTTGATGGGTGATGTGTGTGTGTCCTATCCTGAGGCGAGTGATGGCTGTCTCCTGTTTCCTGGAGATGTTTGCAGGGAACGGCCAAGGGTATGTGGTTCTTTTGATCTCATGTAACTTGGTTGTCTCAGCTGCCCATTTGTTTTCCCATTGGTTGTGTGCCTCTTTAGCAATGATCCTCTTAACATCCTGGTATGTAAAAACCAGTGACGTAAGGGGGTTGTTGGCTAGGTGGGCCTGTTTGGCAGCCTTGTCAGCGAGTTCATTTCCTCTTATATTACAGTGGCCGGGAATCCACATGAAGGATATTTGTTTACCGGCGAAGGTAGCGGTGGAATGAGCATTATGAATTTTTCTTGCTAAGTCAGTAGGTTTCCACTGGTTCTGGATACTCATGAGAGAGGAAAGGGAGTCGCTAAGGATAATGATTTGTTTGGCTTCAACTTTGTTTGTTGCAAACTCAATAGCTTTTAGGATGGCTAGTGCTTCAGCTGTGTAAATGGAGCATTTGTTTGATAGTTTCCATTGGATATGTGTATCCCCGTGAATGATGGCCATTCCAACCCGATTTACCGCGACAGAGGCATCCGTGTATATAAGTGCGTGTTGCTGTTTAGATGAAAGTATTTCCATAAAGAGATTCCTGTATTGAGTGGAGCTGGTATATTTCTTGGGGAGTTGGTGTAAGTCCAGGATGATGTTCATCGAGATGAGCCACGGAGGGGATATGCTGATTTCAGTAGTCATTATGTTGTCTAAATCATATTTTTTATAATTGTTGAAAATGTGGTTAGGGGAGGAATGAAGACCTTGGGGGGAGCGGGCCATTCTGGCTGCGGTTTTGGATGTTAGTTCAGACCATCTTATGTCCAATGGTGGAATGCCGGCAATGCTGAGTATGCTACTGATCGGGCTTGATCTGAACGCACCAATGGAGAGTCGGATCCCTGCGTTATGTATTGATTCCAGTGTTCTAAGGTGAGGTGGTTTGGCGGCGGATATTAGAGAAGCTCCGTAATCTATTTTTGAAAGGATGAGTGTTTTGTGGATTTTCAGTAGCATTTGGGTTTGTGCTCCCCACGCTGTATGGGAAAGTGTTTTTATCAGATTAATTCTAGAAAGACATGATTTTCGTATGTGTTGTATGTATGGGCGCCATGAAGCTTTAGAATCGAGGATTACCCCAAGGATTTTGACTTGAGTTTGGTTCTTGATGGTGTGGTTACCCATTTTTATTGCTATGTTTTCCTTTTTTCTTTTCTGGTTGATGAGTATGAGGCTAGTTTTGTTCGACGCAAATCGAAAACCCGCTGTTTTTGACCAGGATTCAAGTTTGTTGGTCGAATCTTGTAGCATTTGTTGAATAGTGTTGCTGTTGGAGCTGCGACATAGGATATTGAAATCGTCAGCATATAAAAGAGGGATGTTGGGGTTGCGTATTCCTTCGGAGATATCATTGATGGCTATTAGGAATAGCGTCACTGAAATGGTGGAACCTTGTGGTACACCGTTCTCTTGTGTAAATATGTCGGATAGGGTGTTTGAGGTTTTTACCTGAAACGTCCGGGTGCCGAGGAAGTTATTTATGAAGTCTAACATGTTACCTTTAGTTAGAATTTTGTTGAGCTTGTGGATTATTCTGGGTCTCCAAGCTGAGTCATATGCCTTAGCAATGTCAAAACTGATCAATCCTAAACTTTGATTATACTTTAGAGCTGTTTGGATTTCATTTTTAATCTTTAAAATATTCTTAGTAGTGCTTCGATCGCGTCTGAAACCGTTTTGTTCGGGAGTGAGATAGTTAGATTTTTCCAGGTGCCACATTAGACGATTGTTAATCATTTTCTCGAGTAATTTACATAGCGTATTTAAAAGACATATGGGGCGGTAGCTATCAGGTAAAAACTTGTTTTTGTCGGGTTTTAAAATAGGGATGACGAGGCCATGTCTCCATGTGTTGGGGAAACAATTATTGTTCCAAATTGAATTGTATATTGATATTAAATGGGTCCTTGCGTTCGCTGGGAGGTTTTGTACAAATAGGTAGGGGATTCCGTCAGGGCCGGGGCTTTTGCTTTTGCAATTACGGAGAGCTTCCTCCAATTCAGTGATGAGTAGAGGTGAGTTGAGGTAGGTTTGAACATTATTATGGGGATCTACTGTGTTCGATGGGTTGTTATATATGTTTGCCTTGGATAAGAATTCCTGATCGTAGATGGATTTACTGGAATTCTCCTGAAACATTTGTCCCAGGGTGTTGGCGACTTCTTTAGGAGATGTTGTGATGTTAGAGTCCGTGAGGAAGTGGATATTGTTTCTGTTGGTACCTCTAATAGATTTGATTTTTTTCCATACAATTGAGGAGTCAGTTTGGTTATCGATGCTGGACACATATAGTTTCCACGATAAAGATTTGCTGCTCTTAACCAGATATCTGGTTAGGGCTCTTGTCCTTTTTAAACTGATGAAGTCCACTTGCGATCGGGAGATTTGGAATTTCTTGAGAGCTTTATTTTTGTTTTGGATAGCTTTTTTTATTTCTTCATTCCACCATGGGACGCGAGGTCTTGGGGAGCTGCTCTTAGACCTACCTATTGTGATTAAGGCTGCTTCTGTTATAATGTCAGTAAATTCTTTTACGTCTGCATCTATATTTTCTGGTAATGGGGTGGGGAGGCTTTCGGTTTTTTTTTCTATTAGAGATGAGAAAAGATCCCAATTGGCTTTCCTGATAGACCATCTAGATGGATAAACTAGGTGTGTGTCGTCGAGTGGGTGGTTGATGGATATTTGAATGGGGATGTGATCACTGCTATTGATGGTATAAGGTAGAGTGCACCACTCTAATTTATGCGCGAGAGAAGTGTTTGCGATGGAGAGGTCAATTGCGGATGATAGTTCGTTGATAGGGTTGATTCTTGTGGGTTGTCCGTTGTTGAGAAGCATTAGATTTTCGTTATTAAGTAATTCATCGATGATTTTCCCTCTGCGATCCGATTTGTAGGATCCCCAGGTCTCGCTGTGACTATTGAAATCGCCAACTATAATGAACGAATTGGGCAGTTGTTTTATGATACGTTCGATGTCATCTAGGCAGAAATCTCTGTTGTTTGGGATATATATGTTACATATGGTTAGTTTTGTATGAGGCAGATTGACTGAAACGGCTATTGCTTCGAAATCAGTGATTAAAGGGAGTTCGACACTGGGGAAATCTTTGTTGATCATTATTGCGACGCCACCGCTGGCTCTGATACACGAGAAGCGATTGCGTTTATAGATATCGTAGTGCGTAAATTTGGGATTGCTTTTCTCGTTAAAATTGGTTTCTTGAATGCATATTATTGCAGGGTTCAGTTCTTTGGTTAGTATCTGGAGCTCTTCAAGTCTACTGAAGAACCCGTTGATGTTCCATTGAATTATATTTGTTTTCATTTGAATTGTATAGGAGGTTTGAAGGTGCTTGATGTGAAAAATGATAGATCTGAGGGAATCCTTTTATTCATTTGGTTGAATTAGTTGGGAGGAAGGGTCTTAAACAATAAGTTGGATAAAATTTTTATTTTGGACTTCATTGCACGATCTGTAATTAGAGGGTATATTTTTTCGGTCAAGTCGAGCATGTCCGAGATGTTGGAATTAATTTCGTCGCATAATGTGTATATATTAATATTAGGGTTTCTAATATTTTCCAAAAAGTATTTAAATTGGTCCAGGGTGATTGAAGTATTCTCACTGTCGCTGAAAAAGGCGACTGTAGGTTCAAGCGAGGTGTTGATTTTGTTGTCGTCGGTGGAAGTGAGAGAGTTGGATCTAGAGCGGCTGGTTTTGGCTTTTTTTTTTCAGGTTGAATGAAAGGCATAGGGCTGCCTGGTGCTGTAGGGGAGGTGGGAGATTTAATTGTATTTGTATCCGATAGAGGTCTTTTGGCTTGAGTGGTGATTGGTGTTTTCATTGTTACATGGGATGTTTTAGTATTTGCTACGGGTTGGGATGAAATTATATCATTGTTTTCCTGATTCCAGTCCATGGTACTTTGTGGTTGGGTTGTGTCTATTGGAGGTAATTCAGGAAGCTGAATATCTTCGAGTAGTTCTGTAGTATGATCATCAACGGTTGCAATTGGGCTGTTATGAGAAATTTGTTTTTTACATGACGCAGAAGTGTGACCCACCTCTTTGCATAGGAAACAAGTGATTCTGTCGTCAGTAAAAAAGATTCTAAATGAGGTTTGGTTAAAGTTAATAACTAACGACCCAGGTAGTTTGGTGATATCTTCTTGATTTATAAACATTTGGCGGCGGAAACTCAGGATATGTTCGTATCCCGCAATATTGATGCCGGCTTTTATATGGTTTAGTTGTGAGACTGGAGATATATTGATGTTTTTTAATGCGTTAAGAATTATTATGTTAGGTATGGATGGACACACATTTGATATCGTGATCTTTTTGGCTGGATTAATCAATCTGCGAATAGGGATAGTGTGTTCATTTATTGATATCGTTTTGGATTTTTCAAGAAGTGTATCGAGTACTTCTTTGCTTGAAAAAAAAATACAGAAACGATTGTTGGATATCCTTGAAGTGAATATTATGTCCCGAGGGGGGATCAGTTTTCCAATTGCAAGTATATATTCTATTTGTCTGATACCGTCTATAGAGTTGAAAACAATTGCTTGTTCCCTGGATGGAGTTTTTTCGTTTGCCGTAATCGTAGCAAAACTGGTAGGTGATTCTGAGCTGTGTGCTGGGTGGGGTTGGGCGTTGTCGTCGTTGAAAACGATAACGTTTTGGTTATCAGAATTGGAGTGGTTATCGTGTTGATTAGCTGCAGCGGTAATTAGGAGAGCAGCGGTGTTGGCAGAGGTAGGAGTGGAGAGTGGAAGTGGCGGTAATGTATCAATATTATCTACAGAGACATTTGAGTTTGACTTGTTCGAACTAGGATTTGTTTTTGAACTGTTTGATTTGGAGTAGATGGGAATTTGTTTAATATGGCTTGTGGGTATGTTTTTTACAGAAGGTGTTTTCGAGTGAGTGTTTGTGATATTTTTGTTTAATGTTTTTGTAAAAGGCGGTTTGCCTTTTGTATTTTTGTCGCTCATTACGTCGAATGTTCCGCGTCAGATAATAATAAAAATAATGATTATATTACCTGTACGCTGGTCACCGGCATAATTAACGGAGTGCTATCGGAAGCTATAAAAGCGCACGGTCGCGAAAGATGTACACGTGCTGTTCAGTCGGAGGTCGAACACGTACTGGCCGCAAGTATTACGTACTAGACCTAGTAACTACTTCCATAATTCGTTTACCAAAGTTGACAAGCTAAAATTTAAAATATTCTCAAAGTTATAATATAATTCTTTTTTGAGAACCTCGATGTATAAAAATAAAGTCTTATTAAATAATATAAGCCTGTGTGGCTGTTCGTTGATTACTCATTATTATTGTACATTTATGTAATTTTTAATTCCTTGGCCAAAAAACATAACATTAATATTTTAGTTTTAAAGGTTTTATAGCATAATATAATAGTAGTCGTTTTAATTTAGATATGAAATAAAATAAAGAATTTTAACGAACAAAATAATAAATTAAAATGTTAGTTGACTTATAGTTTACAACAAAATGTTATAATTTATAAGTATACCTAAAGTTTGAACTTATACTTATATGTGTTGAAACTCGACGTGGTACCTATTTGTAGTTTTTGTTACACTGCACGACTACCTACTGAAGTATATCATACGAAAACTGGAGTAAAAAAAACAAACACACAATCGATATTGTTACGATAATTTTATTTTATTTACACTGCATAAAATTGCCAAACAATTAATTGTATGATAAGTTACTTTTAACTGTGACCAATAAAATTGAACAAATTAAAAACATATACTTTCGAGTTTCGACCATGATAAAAAAAAATTATAGAATTATATTATAATATACGGCTATATATATTGGCTTTGGACCAATTCGTTTAACAACTCTCAGATTTAATTTGATGAAAATAAAACATTTAAATACAACCATAAACATTAAATTATATAAAAATTGTGTAACTTCTCGGTGGAAAAGATAAAAATTTGACCACTCAAAAAATGATTAAGTTCTAACATTTTTTTAACGAAATAAACACATCAAATACCTTACTTTTGTACTAAAACTCATAGATACAATGCACAGGCCAATAAGTTCTCAGAATTTGTTCTAAATAAATTTGATTCATGTTATGCACAAATATTTGGTACACAATATTATTTGGCATATTTGAACAAATTTTAGCCCATACCTATATAAATTGTTAGTTACTGATTTTATAACATATTGATATTACAATTGAATATATTTTGAAGAAGAAAAAAATAATAAGACAAGGTGTTTTTGTAAGGTGACAGTTTTACTACCATTTTAAAATAACATTTAATTTAGCTTATAGTTGCGTAATCAAAAAATGGACATATTTGTATTTTCAAAAGAAGGAAGTATTATAGTACCATGGTTGAAATATACTGGTTATTCCATATACTATATAGTCTTGGATTGTTATCATCAGATAAAAAATGACTGCGTAACGGGATATCACAGATATCGATTTTGAATCACCATATGAACTTGATTTGGCTCCCTTTTTGTTGACATTTTTGTGTTTATTATCAAATAGTATGTGGAGAAGGAGATATATGCAATAACCTTGTATATTTCAACCATTATAAGTACTAAGTAGCTACCTATAACCTATTTAGTATTTAGGCATTTAGCTATTTATTGAGTAGGTACCTATATATTCGTATTTTTGCTAAAATAGTGATTATCAAATTCTTCATCTACGACCACTACGTTATATTGTACCACAGATCTTCTAATTTTGTGTTTATGTAACTGCAGATTGTCGATTCATTAAAATAAAAAATATATATATAATGATAAATGTTATATAATTGCACAAAACTATAAAGTATTCGTTGCGATTGTTCTTGCATAAATATAAATGTAAGCCCATTTTAGGACAGATTTTTAATTTTTTGGTCGTTAATAGTTTAATTTTCAGTAGGTGCAGATGCCTAGATTATTTATTTTATTAAATAAATATAAATATAAATGCATATTTCATGATATTGTTAAACATTTATTTTCATTTTGTTTAGTAAAAATTTGTTCAAAAATAACTTATTGAAAATAGTATTATATAATTTTCTTATTTGTTTATTATGCAAGCAGTAATACCTAAACAGCAGCATGTCAGAAAGACGGACACTTTTGAGCCGTCCCCGGACCCGGGTGTACGACTGCAACTACAACATCGGCGAAGGTTACTATAAGCCAATGATGGACCACCTGGACCGCAAGTATTACGGTTCTTCGGCGGCGCCAGCCGCAGCTAAGCCCACAAGTGGATTCTTCGACTCCAGCCCAAAAAGCCTGTTCGGCACGTCCGGCTCATCGGCCTTTGACGAGTATAGATCTTCGTCACCGGCACGATCCCGCCGCAGCGGATCCGACTCCAGATTATCTTTGCCCGATGACGAATTCGAACAAGAGGTAAATTAAATGCTTCCGATAACATTATATATGCATAGATCGTTATAATTTAAATACAATTATTTTATGTATTAAATCCGTATTAGTACATTCGATACTTGAGGGACAGTGAAGCCGTGTGATGAATTATAAAATATATAACACAAGTAACGCTTTTGGTACAACACGTCATTCTGGTCTTAAATATTTTAACGAGCGTATATAAAATACTAAAATATTTTAGCTTTTGGTGACAACATTGTTTGCAGATCAGTTTAGCTAGAGAAATTAAGATACTTTGTTAGTAGTAGTTGTAAAATGTATAGGTATAGGTCAAGACTCAAAGAAATCTATCGCCTACTCACGTACTCGCCTACTCGCGTATATCAAACGTTTAAAAGGTGTATTAATTTGAGCTCCATGATCTGAAATATATTATTATTTATATTACTGTTGATCGAAATTTTACCCATTAGATACGGATTGAGGGTGAAGACATGAATAATATATATTTATTTAATTACTGGGCGACGGATATCAACTCTGTAACACTGGAATGTCGACATACAAATGGGAGGGGGGGAGTGGGGACGATATTTTAATTTTAAAGTAAGTTATGAATATAATATATAATATCAATATTTTAAAATGCTGATAATTCACTTAAAAATTAAAATATCGTAAAAAACCAACTAGAGAATACAGATAATGGTCTTACCTTAAAGTTTGATAATTGGTCAATTCACTCTAATATCAAAACGAATAGCAAAGTAGCACCTAGTACACTATTAAAACTAGTGAACAAAGATGTTCTATGTCGTATGTGTGTAACACTCGGACAACATACGCCTGTGCAACGTCCCCTTAGTATATAAAAAAATTATAACCTCCCTCTGGCATAGGTACGGAATTTAAATTTACCTAACCCCTCAAATATAATACCTGTACAATAGCTTTCAAAATTATATGTTTTATGTTGGGTTCATAAAAAATGTATTAATTTAATGGTTCCATAAAATCGAATGCACCAATCATGGGTCATTAAATCATGTTTAAGGGAAATCAACTTACTATATATTATATATATTATACATCGTTTATGCAACCTGACATTAAAAGTATATATAGAAAAATAACATGAGTCTCGTGTTATATATGACCAACACGCAATGATGCACAGCATAATAATAGGTCTTACAAAGCCCAACTGTAAATAAAATAGCAACAAAATACTACTTTACAAAAAATTCCATTTGAACCAAAATCAACTTCATAAATCACCTTATAATCTACTGAGAAGACTGAAAAGAAAAATCCAAATGAGAGGCTTTTTGATCTTCGCAACTTCTCTCGTGTACGGTGTACCGAATCGTGCACATTTTAAATTACCTACACGATTGTGTGAGTTTTTTACTTTTTTCGTGCAGTGTTTTCGGGGTTTCATGACTTGTAATTGAATAGTAAATGGACAAATAGTAATAATTTTGAGTTAACTATAGCGTTTTATACTATATATTTATATACATAATTAAACATCTCGATTACCAACAATTCACCAGCGGGCCTATTATAAAATATGATACTGCATCATATAAATTATAAACTGTTAATTGTTCTATTTATTTGCTAATCGAGCAATTTTAAAATTAAAATATTCAATTTAATAATTTTCCTGAAGGATTAGGTCGATACATTATGCGCCTTGTCTTAACTTATTAACTAAATAGGTAATCATATAATTTCCACAATTAAAAATAAAACAAATTGAAATAATAAAAAAAACGCCATAAAAGATTAATAATTATACTATACCTTATACAGTTATAGACCATATCCATACAGAGTACAGCCAATACATGTAATAATAATACTGTATGCCAGGTGGTATGTTTACTGTTTATGAACTACCTATAGTATATAATGTATACAATATATAGGTACTATTATATTATACTAATATATAATATTGTAGCCATATAGGTTTATACTATATATTGGACCTTGAAAGTTAAATAGCATTCCCCTCAAACAAAAAAGGTCACTAATTATTCACAATATTGTAACTATCACTTCTAGATGTCAGTACCTAATAGTATCGTCTATTGAGTACTTTATAACTTTATACTACAGCGATTCTCAAACTGAGCGTTTGGGACCCGATTGGGGATCTCCAATACATACACTATTCAGTTTTTAATGGTATTATAGTAAAAAGGTGGCCAAAAATCATTAGAGAAAATAACAGTTTGTATACAGTACCTACAGTAGGTACCTATCATACGTTTTCATTTTAATAGGCCCACTGATGAATTGTTGGTAATTGGTAGGTATTCATATACCTACGCCGTGATTTTAAACCTAAGCTACTTACGTGACAAAATCCTAAATATCAGTCAAAAATCAAAATAGAAAACTATGAAAACGGTTAAGCCAACCCTGGCTTAAAAGCTATAAGAAAATAATAAACTGATAGTAAAAAACTAAAAACGGATAATTTAACTGTGTATAGTATATACATATCACATATGCAACCATAAAGCTAAACGTATAATTTACACCTTGGAGGTTATCCAAAATTAAAGGATGTCAAAGTGTATGAAAATCTGATATGTATTTTTAACATCTATTTTTGGCATTGTTTTTTTTCTAACATTTAAATAGGATTAAAAATAATCAAAGAATGGTTTACATTGTTAAAAGGATGCAACTTTAAAAATATTTGTTTAGGTATATACATAATAATAATATGTATCATATAGGTTATATTTATATATATAGACACCAGACATACTAGAGTATTGGATACTATATAAATATTATATTCTATATTATTTTAATAGATAATAGTATAATACAGTGATATGTAATATTATAGGTAAATAAAATATGTAAATTATAAAAAACTGGAATTTGTATTTCATCATTAGATATATTTTATCTTTTAACTTGACGTTCATATAACTACTTTAGTGCGCTAAAGTTATTTAATTTTTTTTGTATTTTTGGATTTTGAGCGGAGCAATGAATAATGCGTATTAAGTAATGGGTTTTCAAAGAAGTGTGTGTTTTTTAAGGTGAAGACTATTTTATTACTAGAAAAGAATTTCAATCCGATGTTCGTATTTATGGTGGTTTATCGTATAAAATTGAATCTAGTTTTCAGATAGTACTTTAAGGGGTCAAACTCAAAAGTAGAAAACCATTTTTTAAAATGAAAAACTAAAAAAATTCATGAAAAAACTGAAATACACAATAACAATTTTTAACAAAATCTATTTTGTTATTTTGTAGTAATTTAAAAATGAATGACATATATAGATTGTAGGTACATAACATTTTCAAAAAATATTTTTATTATTATTTTCTAAACATAGTAAGAAAATAATTTTGGATCTTTTTGAAGTATTTATAGTATGTTGATAACATTTTATTTAAAAAATGGTATAAAGAATAGCCAAAAATACCCATACAAATTGATACATACATTTATTTTTGAATGCAATTTTTTATTAGATACATACTTAATTTATAATTTACAATAAACTTAAAATGATTTAGTATAACATTGATTAAAAAAAATAATAAAATTTGAAAAATTGTATGAACATATTATTTAATTACCTCATTTTATCAATTGATACGATGATGTTGCCTGCATATCTTTTAGGGATCCATATTATGCATTATAATTATTCTTAACATACCAAACTATAAACAAATATGATTTAACACTAACAAAATTACCGATAAATGCTAAAAATTGCTCAAAAATTAAAAAAAATATCTGAATATGCAAAAAAATTTTAAAAAAAAAACAAATATGCAATATAAAAGTTTCACTGCTATGAAGACTGAAGTCTATGTTTCAAGAAACAAATTAGGTACTTGGAAAGTATCGTCTAAGATAACCCAAAAAAGACTGCACTTTGCATTGATATCTAGGCCCAAATTATAAGTAATGTACCTAATTTATATGATGCCACTTAGCATTAACTAGAGGACACAGCGAGAAAGTGTACCGTCCTGCAAAAATTATTTTTGGTTTCGTTAAAATATATAAATTAATAAAAATGGAAAAATAAAATTTTTTGACTGAGCCATACTACGCGGTATTACCTCAGTATTCTCAGTCGATTTAAAAACGGCTGTTCAGATGGTAACGTAAAGACCACAGTGCAGGTAAAACCATTTGTACTCTTATAAGGGCCCTAAGGGGGTAATTTACTATATCCGTTGGCGGTTTTACAAATCAAAAAATTCCGGGCGCAAATGGGCAATTTACAATAGAACTTTTTTATAAGACATTATAAATAATTTTGACAAAATTTGACATTTATACAATAAAAACTATATTTCCTTTAACAATTTTAGTTATTGTATTGTAACTCGAAAATTAGTAATCGGAGGGATTCGGACTTTTTCACCAATACAATTTTCTATAAATATAATAACATTATCAAAATATTTATACTAATTTTAACTATTTATAACACTTTAGTAGTAAGACTATTATAAAAATAAATGACAATTAGTAATAATATAAAAATATATTTTAAAAATATCCTTAGAAAATATATAGAGATTAGAGACTGATTTACTTGAATTCAAATTTAACACACCCATCAGTCATTACAGTGACTACTCAATGACGAGGTATATTTGAAAGTCGAAACCCCGTACCTCAGTGCCGCAATAACCGGGTGTGTTGCGTGTGTCAAACACACGGGCCCAGGGCGGCAGGGCCCCAACTCATAATGGGGGGCCCAATGATAAAAATTAACAAATATATTGAAAGAAAAAAATAAAACCATTTTGTTATTAATAAAGATTGAACAATAGATCGGTTTTGTTTTTTACACAACATTATCATACAACAACGTTTCTTTTGCTAAAAATAGAAAAATAAGACTAAAAATATAGATTAAACTAAGAGTATAGATTTGATCCATATTGAAAGACAACAAACAAATGATATTCACATAGAAAATATAATTGACAATTTTGCAAACAAAAGGCAAATAAAATGAATTTTTGAAAGTGCGAGTAGCTACAGTATTTATTTTTGAGTTTCTAATTGACTGTTAATGTATGGTATGCATTGGCGCAAATAGTGGGAGGGCTTGGGGGGGACTTAGTCCATTGAAATTTCGGTCAAGTCTCCCCAGTTCAAAATCTAGTAATTAGTACTAATTTTTATATTCTGTGGTACTAAGAAATATGGCCTATGGGGAAGGGGCTTGAGTCCCCCCAAAAAATTTGAGGCTATGGTGGTATGTTCAATTTATTTGTTATTTGATAATTATTTATATTAAATATTTTAAAATGAATAAAAAAGCTACAAATTATTACATTTATTTATTTGTAAATACATAGGTACTAATAGGTACCTACGTGTTTTAATTATGTTAACCTTATTTTGTTTGAGTAAAAACTCAAAATTCCAAAGTATGTTTTCAAATTTGGAAAAATAAATTTTACAATAGTCAATAGGTAAATTTTTCATTCATTTTATTTACACACGGGCCCAAATTGGTGTAGTACTGCCGTACCTACTACCTATTAACAATACAGCAGAGCGACTTGACTGTTATTTTTTATCTTTTAAAGATGTAGGTACCCTAGTAACTTTTTATATAGATTACCATATTATATGAAGTCTTTAAGATTTATTAAATGACCTAGATAGGTAGGTATAGAGTTTAAAGCTGCAACACCCTTCTAGTCATCGCATTACATAACTTATTGTCTTTATTCACATGGTTAACTAATAAGGTTCATATTATAATATTTAGTAATTTGATGTACCTATAGATAATGATTATATTAACTAATTACTCATTAATTCTATAGGGTACCTGTATAATTAATCAAATTTGGTTATATTTATGATTATCATTATTTAAGTTGAATGCATACTTCATCTGTATAACGACACTAAAATATCGTACTGGTACTCGCCCCACCATTCAATAGATCCAAAAAAAAACTTCCACCTTGTATGTGTATTAATTAGACAGTTAGTTTTCTTAATACCATTAATATTTAATGTCCTACTGCAGGTACCAATAATATATTTTATGACAAATAAACATAGTACACTATACACGCAGTGCATAAATTGATGCCCCGCTATTGAAGTTCAAAGAGAGATGGTGTATTTTGGTGAATATTAGAGTATTTTGTAAGAATAAGCAAGTAAAATTACGAACTAGTGTTAGTTTTACTACTTTTCCGATGTTTACGTTAAAATCTTGCTCCAGATGTTCAGAGCGCTCTCGAGGTACCTACTCATGAGTTCGGGAACTGAGCACATCACCGTATATACTATATTTTTTTATACAATTTAAAATAATCTTTTCTGTTGTCATGGATAGGTAGGTACTTATTGAAAGAACTAAATTCCTCCGGTTGATAGGAATAAATATAGCACAGAAGTATATTTTATGTGACAATAATTATGGTCACCATGTTTGTTCCTTTCATGGTTATATGGTTATATGGTTGGAGGGGGGTTAAATGTACTGATCAATCGGTGTTATTAGAATACACACGCTCGTACATACTTTGTTGCTTAACTCGCAAGTTTAAGCTCAATATAAAAAATGTTCTATTATAATTTCACGTTACAAAAAGGTGTAAACTATTTCTCACTATACCTATAGTATAAAATACGTACTGTATAGTGTATATACCTAGACAATTACACTGATTTTCACCAAATATTTATATATTTTTTTTTATAGCATATAAATAATATAAATAATTTTGGAGGTATTTATGCTTTATAGATATTTGAAATTGTTGGCATCGTTTTAGTTTTTTCGATAATACAGTCACAATTTTTTTTTTCACCAGTGCTCAAATTAGACGAAATCAAGAACATTTGCAAAATATTTTGGAGTTAAAAATATATAAAATGTTTATAGATATGGGTTGAACATGTAGTACAAGGTTCTTCATAATTTGTTCTTACAATTTACTATATAGGTATCTAAAAATATAGATGATATCTTTAAGCTCAACTTTTTTTTAGACATTTTTAATTCTAATAAGTAGTTTAAACAAAATTTGATATTTAAACGAAAAACAACGAAATTTCCTGTAACAATTTTAGTATTATGTTGTATATAGTTCAAAACATTTAAATCGAAGTCCGCGGCAGGGACATAAAACTTTTCTCCATTACGAACACAAATATGTTTTCAGATATGTTTTCCGATAAATATTTAGTATTAATGCAATATAATGGCATATTATGATTAATACTTTTGGACAACAAAATAATAATAATTCATATTTATGTGCTCGTTATTGACATGTGAATGCACCTTGAGGTAGCGCTCCACTATTTCTTTCAGTCGCACACACTAATGATCACTAGTATTTATTATACACGCACACAGTTATACAACACACATGCATTCACTATTACTAACGGTCTGTATCGAATCCCATTAACTTAAAAAGTATGTACATGGTAATAGTACTAAGTGTAGTGAAGCAATTAATTTTAATAAATGAAAAAAAAAAGTTTAACTGACATTAACTGTTGTATATAAGTTAGTTAAAGTTATTAGATGTGTGTTATTATACTCTATTCAGAATAAGAATTCCCATCTGTATACTGCACGGCGGCGTCTGTCGATAGCGACGGCAGCTTTCGATAACTGGCGACCAATCACAGCTCAGCCGACACTCGCCAAAGGGGCGTGTGACGGTTGCTGTCGGCTCAGTTTCTTGCGCAAAAGTGGGAATTCTTATTCTGAATAGAGTACGGGCGTAGTGGAGTCTGACCTCCTGGAGACTAGAGTCGAGGTACCCCACAAAATTTTAATCTACCATTCCACTCATTTAAACTTTAAAACTACTTACAACTAAAATGTAATAGTAATAGTATACGAACGATTTTGAAATTCAATTGAAACTATATAATATAATAGGTTTCGATGTACCTATACAGTGCACCGATGAGTGATTACGTTATTCGCCTTATAATGATATTTTAATAATGTAATAACGAATGTGTATCGGTTGTACTTTAGGTAGCCGCAATGCGCCGGGCTCGCGCCGCCAAGGTGGCAGCTGCCCGAACGGCGTCTCTGGAGAAGGACTTCGAGTCGGCGTTCAACGGGTTTGCGTCTGACGGCAAGCCGAGGCCACGGCTCAACTATACGGAGAAGATGTTGGACACTATTGGGCTGAACAGCAAGTCACAGGAGGCGCTGGAGGATGAGATCTACAAGAAGAGGACAAAGTCCTTCTTCCAGGACGCGGAGGACGTGGTGGCGTCAGCCGAACTCCACGCCAACAACCGACGGTCAGCAGCGTTTAAAGCGCATCTACAGGACGCGGCTGACGAGCAGTCCGCCAGTCAGCTGGCGGCCGAGGCCAGGGCACGCAAGTCCAAGGCCCGCTTATTAGACATACAAAACGAGCTGGACGGCATCGTGGAAAGGGACGCTGCCCGCCAGAAGCGCTCAGCCAATCTGAAGGCGCTGTTCGCTGACAACGAAGCGCTCACAGAATCAGTTAGCTCTTTCAAGAAGAAGTCATCGAAAAAAGTGTCATTTTAATGGAATTTAACGTATTTAATATTATTGTTATAAATATAATATATTGATAGAGAGAAAGAGAGTGAGAGAAGGCGTATAGGTACCGAAGCAGATCAGACGTCGTGATAGTTAACCGTCATCTCTCATCATTACAACTGTTCTATATTTTTCCCTCTCTATCACTCTTCTCCCCTATTCTTTCTCTCTCTCACGACGCTCTTCTTCTTATACCCTGACTTTTTCTTTCTCTCTTTTTATCATACAATTTTCCCCCCTCACCAAAGTCTAATTTGGAATCACAAATTTTAATAATAGTGATATTTTCATCTGGCGTTGTTTTTTTTTATTTAGATATAGACCATAACATTTTTGTTCGTCGAATTTGTAGGTATTCGAGCAGGATAGAATGAAATTTAATTAAATTTCTCTTTATAGTTATAAAAATGATTTGCGTTCAAATGTTGTTCGGTATTTTTTTTGTTGCATTTTTGTGTTATTATACATTTTACGAATAACTGAATAGGTATATATCACCTTTAACGAATGGTAACTTATATCTACTTAAATTGTTCGAATATATATATACGATATAATATAATAACAATATACGTTAAAATCACAAATAATATTATGTTTTGTAAATACTATACCTATTATATTTTTCGGTTTTCCGAATATATTATTTTCTTTAAAGTTTAAAATACTTTAAATGGTGTGAAAAAAACCTAATGCCATGAATTAAAAATAATTATGAGTTGTATTGAATAGTCGAAATATATTGAATATAGTTGAGAACTTTTAATTGAATTGCATAAAGCTATTTTAGTTACGACTTATACATTTATAACAGCTGCTCATATATAAGTACTTATTCGTAATTTTAGCACCATCTATTCGTACAGCCAACAGCTATACTCAACAGGTATAACCTAGTATACCTGTATTCCTACCTACTAGCTATTATTGCTTTAAATATTGGGTTGTGACTTGTGAATTCTATTTCTACTCCTATAGCTAAATTGTCATAGACGTAAATGGGGGGAGCTTAGAAGGGTCAAGGGATTAACCCTCCTTGGTTCATCTCAAGTATTACGATTTTGTTCTAATATGCAGGTATGCTTTATGCCTTTATAATCTTTATATTATTCAAATATGAAATAGATAAAATGTATTATAAATGTACCTACCTATTTATTTAAATTAAATTATTAGTTTTTGCGGTTTATAGGCATTTTCTTATGTTATCAAAATTATGTCAATGTTTTGATACTGCCACATATTGGTATTGTTAGACCAATAAATAGATTTACCATTTATTTACCTTTGTATATCCCAGAATTGAATTATATTATAATAATTATTAATTTCTATTATCCCCATAACACTCTGCACTCTGCAGCGATGAATGATGACGAACAAATTACAATCGTTTAGTGTTTTAAATATAATTCACTGAATGTAAGCGAGTTTTCATAATTTATTTAAATTTTAGTTTGTTGCCTATGTTACTTGTTAGTGCGATTATTATATTAAAAAGTGTAAATTATTCAGATTTTTAATTCAGACTGAAGTTGATACACAGAAGAAACTACCAATGAACACTAAAATTACCACCGGTGGTTTCATGGCGTTAATGGGGGTAGGGGTACGGTATAACCCCAATGTCAAAATAATATGTGGAACAATAATTTGTAATTATTTTATTTTTTGAATGTATACCTATATACATTTTAATTAGGTAATATAAATTAAATTAATATTATATTATAATACATAAATAACAATAGGTAACCTACAATCAATACTTATTTTTAAATATAAATAATGCTTTGAAATACATATTATTTTTTATGACACCTGGTGGGTGTAGGGGCAACCCAAATAAATATTTTAAATCCACCACTGTTGATTACTGAATCTCAACAGGTGAGAAATAAAATATGAATATTCTCTAAATATTGATTTTACACAGAAAGTTTATTTCATCCATAGGTTAGTAAATATTATTTTTAAGTTTTAAACGCAGGTAATAATTACGAAATCAGCTTTGGTAACTTTGATTTTATTGATAAGCGGTGTAATTAACTAATTTGGTAAAAAAAAAAAATATGACGACAATATCACCAACAAGTTTTTCTGTAAGTAGGTATATAATTTTTATTATTCAGCATAATATTAATGATATAATTGAGGTTGTAGACGTCGTTGATCGAAACGATAGGTATGTGAAATGTGCATCATACATTTATAAAATAAAAATGATGTAGAAATTCAGTTTTATTGATTGATGGTTCTATAATACAAAGTATGTATATTGTACAGCAGAGTTTGTTGTAAGTCTAATTTGTCTGCAGCATTCAAAATGATAAATTTAGATATTTTGAGCATGCAATCGGTCTTTAATAGATGGCCGTGGTACATCCAACATATTAGGATGACGTCCTAATGTTGACAACGTAACCCTGAAATATGAAAATAAACTCTTACAATTTATCTCAATAATAAACAAGTCTAAAGTAAGTATAAGCAAACATTTACAAACAAATAATTGTTTGGATTTCCGTGAAATTCTAAGACGTATAAAATATAAGTGCATAATAACTTAGCAAAATATGGTTTGTATGTTTACCTTGATGATTTTTGGTCTAAACTAAAAAATGTAATTTCAATCTGTGTTTAGGTTAGGTTAAATACCTATTTGAATATTATTATTATTTATCAAAATAGGAAAAAAGTTATGTGAAAAGTTTGTGAAATTATGTACGAACTATGAATAAGGTATAAAGAAATAGGTACCTAATTCAATAACTTAAAAGTATGGATAAATTACCGACCTATACATTTATAATGTCCAATTTAAAAAAAGTATAGAAACTCATCTAAAGGTTTAAACATTTTGGTGTGCTTATAATTTATAAAGTATTTTTACATCTTCTTCTACAGTACTATATAATAATAATACGTTCTTTCTGTATATGTACAAATGTTATAGAACATACTATACCATGTAAGTACCCTGTACAGATAGGTAAAATTGTCTCTTACCTCTACAGCATTAAATTATAGTATATCACCGTGATACTTACCAAGGTGTACCGATGAGCTGGTCGTAGTACTGTCTGTAGTAGTAATGCTTGTCGTGGTCTGCCCGGCAAATGGACGGTATTACCATGTAGTCGTTGAGCTTGGACTTGACCAGCGGGAAGTCGGACGACGACAGACGGCGGCCGTCTTTGGTGCATGTCCTCAGCACACGTTCCTCCCACGTCTGCGGCACAGGGACCGGGTCGTACAATCCCCTCTGTCGCCTGTTCATGTACGTTATGTAGTCGTCGTAGTAATTACGCTGGTAGTCGTACAAGATGTTGTACTGCAGCCTGGTCGGTCGGGCCCAGTGTCTGAAAATCTTGCGCCTGTCTTTTTCCTCGATCTGCAGCACAATCACATTATAAACACCTCGATCAGTACAACGATATTGTATATTTCACAACACCATATGTGTACCATAGTGTCAAAGCTGGGCAGTAACTAGTTAAAAAGTTAAAAGTTAAGTTAAAAGTTACTTTTTTTGATAACTTTTAACTTAACTAGTTAAAAAAAAAATAGAATGTAGAAAATAACTTAGTTAGTAACTAAGTTATTTCTTGTTATAAATAATTGTAACTTAACTTAGTTATTTTGTTAAAATGAAAGTTATTTGTAAAAAGTTATTTACAAAAATGTTTCTATTATGATTTATGAACTGTTTATTATTTGCATCGATATTTCTGAGAGCCGTCAGGACGGAGATTATATGTATATTATTTTATTTATTTCTATTTACTATAGTCTATAATATACTATAATATAGACATATATTAATTACTAATTAGTATTATTATAGTAAATAGTGATTATTTTTATTTACTTATTATAGGTAAGTACTTATTTGTAATGTAACTAGGAAGTTAAATGTTAATACTTTCTATAAAATGACAACAGTTAAGATGTATGCTACATTGTTACTAGTGTACTGTGTACATTGATAGGTAGGTAATAATACAATTTCCAGAACGGACCTAATTAGTAAATTCTGATACTGTGATACTTATGCCGTGTTTTCTACAAACTACACTCTACATTCCTTAAATATTATATTCGTATATAAATAAAATGATATATAAGAAATAATTGTTGTCAATTTGTTTTACTTTATACCAAAACTAGTTCTTTTCCTACGATGAGATAAAAAAAAACGTTTATGAGTAAGTTAAAGGTATTTAAAAAAAAAAGTAACTTAACTTTTAACTTAACTTAGTTATTATTTTCATGAAAATTTGTAACTTAACTTAGTTACTCAAATACAGTGACTTTTTAAAACTAACTTTAACTTAACTTAGTTATTTTTTATTTTAGGTTTAACTTAACTTTAACTAGTTAAACAAATTGGTTAACTTGCCCAGCTTTGCATAGTGTAAAGGTATCTACCACCATCTGGTATACATATGTATAGTATATTGTAATGACTAATAGTATTATATACACAACCATATTCACACTATGTTAATATATAGACGTAGTGTGTCTATAGTAGTTATATGCACATTGTGAAACATTTAAAAATTATTATAAAAATAATGAACAAATTCAATTGTTTCAAACATGAGTACCTACTACCTAGATTTAACTATAATTATATGGATAGCAAATAATCATACGACAAGAATACACGATGAAATATAATTTCGAACGAGTTTATTACTATTATTGTTAATTTATACGCTGGAAAATCTTTACGTGACTTGTATTTACTGGACATTTCAATTCGTGTGAAAATAATTCTGTTAAATTACTTACAGCGAGTTTATAAGTTTTCCTCCATTCAGCTGGTGGTTTAGGCGCTTCAACTGGTTTGGCCGGCGTAGTATCCTCTTCGACGACTTCTTCATCACCACCAACATCAGCAGATGAGTCTGCGACGTCATCGTCGAGCATCCAGGCAGGTGCATCAGGATCGGCCATGATAGATGTGTATAATTTTACTAAAAGAGAATATAAATCGTAAGCCTCTATAAAGACTAAAACGAAACAAAAAATAAAATAAATGTTGCAGTTTGAAATTAAATATAAGTATATATACACACGAACCTTAACTGAATTCCAATCCAATAAAGTACCGACTGAAAGCTTAAATGAATCGATCACCCCTTTGGCCCATACAACTTATAATTCACTTGTGGCCATGAGTATGGCTCATGCCCAATATTTCAGGGATCGTAAAATGTGCTGTTGAATTCCTGTGTAAAGCGCCCCCAAATACGTCTGGGAGTATGGTAACTGTATGTAAATAGTGTACGTAGCATTCGTATCTCCGATCGCAATATTTGGAACCATTGAGAATTCAGATCAGATGTGTGTCTTTCTTGGCGCCGATACACTTTATAGATATCTCATTGTGTCCTAATTGTCATTGTCAATGGTGAACAATGCCAATATTTTGTGATGAAGAAACCTGTAACGGTTTTTGTTTCATTGGAAATGTTTTTTTTTAATTTTAAATCATGAAATATTGGTTGAGAAATATTTGTATATCATCTTATATACATGTATATCCTCGAGTATTGTATGCCTAATGCTGAAAAAATAGCTCCCGGGTGTAGGATGTATACATAAAATGCAAATAATATGCAATCAGTTTGATTAATAAAAAAATTGAAATAAAAAAATTATACTAGTTAATGAAAAATTAATATTCATAGTTTGGGGTAACTCGTGGGATGTCAAAATACAATGAATAAACTCAACATGGGGAATTCCTAAAATATGTAAGTAAATTTATTATTTAAATTCTCATAAATAAATAATTATATTTTATTAATACATAATTTCCTTTACATTTGGCCAAACAAAATGTTCTTGACCCCTTTATTCATTCATTGCCATACAGACAAAAAAAAGTTGGCCCCGGTGGTCAATCTTATCTAAAATTGTTTTAAAAATAAGCTGTCGAAAACAATAAATTGGAAAACATGAAACCAAAGTTTTGGATTTACTCTTATTATGCTAGTTAAAATTTTGCATTATACCTTTCTTTTCAACAAATTCAAATGGTTGAATATTTAATAAATCAGTGTTTTTGTTTGGGATTGCAAATACAATATTTATTTTTAATGATTGATTTTAAAATAACTACCTAACATCAAAATTTATAAATATTAATTAAGTCAACTTTTCTGATTTAATATCAAAAACTTTACTATTTTATTAAGTATATTAATTAATAATTAACAATGAATAGGTATTATGGTTCTCCCAGCGTCGGTTCAAACTGAGAAAAAACTGTTTAAAACTTTGCAGTATTATGTTCCTACTAAATATTATACACTAAATATTATGTGAACTGTGAATATAATACAGATAATATATTAATATGTACTTATGTGTGAATTATATACCTATATTAAATATTTAAATATTGTAGTTTATATTAAAATATTCTTTGGATAATTGGATTTAATTAAACGAGAAACGCATGTTATTTATTAATTTTAATCCAAACTTCTTTACAAACAAAATAAAATAACTTAAATAATTCACTCCAGGATCTATTTTCATATGTTAATTAGGTACTTGATTCATTGGTGTCTTTTCAAATAAATAAATGTTTTAGATCCTATATAAATAACGATACTATTGCTGACACTTTTAGACAGTTGATTGAAGAATCTATATGCAATAGTTTTTTCAAATATATAAACAATTTTAGTTTAATACTTGATTTTTAATAGGGGAACTATTTAAGCAAAAACGACCACTGGAAAATATAATACTTGCAGAACCTGAGAAAGGACTAATAAAAAAGTAAGAAAGCGATTCATGCAAATTTATTGGATAGGAGGTTCCATATTTTAAATATAAAAATAAGATTTTGTTATTATATTATTAGTTCATTACTTTAAATTATTAAATATTATATTTTATGTAGTACATTCTTGTTGAAGGTTCATAAATTATTAGTTATTTATAAGAGAAAAACGAGCTTGCGACTAGGTTAATAATATATTATTATGGTAGATACCTCCATACATGTACAAGGTACATGTAGAATACAATCACAAGGTTAAAAAATTATTTTATAATCACAATAAACTTAGTTAAACGAATACCTAATATAATATGTTGTGCAATCTGCCATGTCTAGTATTTTTAATTTTAAAGTATGAATAATCATTTTTATTAAATAACCTTTATTTAAAAAAAAAAATAATTAAATTAATATATTAACATGAAAATATAAGTAAAATTCTGTAGTGAAGAGCCAGAAGTTGATATCTGCATCATGTTTTAGATTCTGAGCGGAGCGATGAATGTATTGGTTTTACAATGATGTGTGTTTTTTTTTAGATTCTGAGCGGAGCGATGAATGTATTGGTTTTACAATGATGTATGTTTTTTTTTATATTTTTATTTATATTTTTGTGTCTGTCATCACGTTTTAGGACAGTAAAAGTGCTTGGATTTTCTTCATCAGTAGCTTTTCTGGTAGAAAAGTGAATCTATTTGGTACTTTGGGGGGTCAAAAGTATAAATTTCCCAGTAGTTTTCACAAGCGCCGGGAAAAAACAACATAAAAATTAAGGAAAAACGGGAATTTTTACTCAAAATTGGTTTTCCAAAAAATCGATTTTGATTATTGGTGTAACTCTAAAACAAATGAACGTATATACATGAAATTTTCACTGGTTGTTAATATTTGCATTTTCTATACACGATAACATTTTCAAAATATTTTGATTTATTTTGAACTGTTTAGGGACATTTTCATTTTCCATTTTTTTTTAGTTTTTTTTCTAAAAATATCAATAAAATTTTATTTGTTGGTTGCGAAGGCTTGAAAATTTAATAGAAGGCTCCTAATATGTTGTTTCAAAGGCAGATGAAAAATATTAAAAATCCTTAGTCACAATTTTTTTTTATAAGCATTTAAAGTTCAAAAATTGACAAAATATGGAAAAATCACGAAAATTAGCAAATTATTTTGAGTTAAGAATTCGTAAAAATTTTTCTTTTTAAATCTAAGATTTGAAAATGAAACACAAGATTCCTTATAAGATTATCTACCTTTATCAATAAAAAAATCTCTACCGGACAGTCAAATTAAATTTTTATGAGCGTTTGAAATTCAAATTTTTACAACATTGGATTTTCACTCGATTTCTCATGTAGCGATTTCCTTATTTTGTTGTAATTCAAAAACGAATAACTGTAGATACATGAAAATTTCACTGAATGTTTATATTAGCATTTCCTATACACCATACAATTTTGAAAATATTTTGACTCTTTTTGAGCTGTTTACGGACATTTTCAGTTTTCAATTTTTTTAGTTTTTTTTTTTATAATTGTCAATAAAATTTTATTTGGTGGGCCAAAAAGTCTGAAAATTTAATACAAGCTTTCTTATATATTGTTACAATATCAGTTGAAAAATTTTAAAAATACATAGGCACGATTTTTTTTTATAAGCATTTAAAGTTGGAATTTTGACAAAATTTTTCAAAATCTCGAAAATTATCAATCGTTGGAATTAAAAAATTATAAAATGTTCAGTTTTTATAACTAAGAGTTGAAAATTTAAAACAAAGATTCTCTTAAATAATTCATACTGTAACCAAAAAATATATAAACACACTTATTTTTTACAGACATTTTAATTTCAAATTTACACAAAATTTCATATTTAAACCAAGAATTACTATTTTAGTTATTTTGTTGTGATTGTATAATTTTATTCGTGGGTACTTGAAATTTCTAAAGTAATCTACTATATATCTATGATAGTATCAGGGTTTGTTGTTGGTGTATAACGCGTTATAAGTACCTAATGGATATTGTGATATGATTAATTTGGAATTCATTATAGGTCAATTTTTTTTAATACCATAGATATGTATATAATATGTCTTATACCTAGAAGGACATACCGTCACCGCTCAGAATCGTTTTCTTATACAATGATATTATATCATTGAATTCAAATTTAATACTATCCATTATACAGTGACCTACTTGTAACCTACTGTACAGCAGAGCGACACCCACTTGCCCACCTTTTTTTGTGTCTGTCATCACGTTTTAGGACAGTAAAAGTGCTTGGATTTTCTTCATCAGTAGCTTTTCTGATAGAAAAGTGAATCTAGTTGGTACTTTGGGGGGTCAAAAGTATAAATTTCCCAGTAGTTTTCACAAGCGCCGGGAAAAAACAACATAAAAATTAAGGGAAAACGGGAATTTTTACGCAAAATTGGTTTTCCAAAAAATCGATTTTGGTTTTTGGTGTAACTCTAAAACAAATGAACGTGAAATACATGAAATTTTCACTGGTTGTTTATATTTGCATTTTCTATACACGATAACATTTTCAAAATATTTTGATTTATTTTGAACTGTTTAGGGACATTTTCATTTTCCATTTTTTTTTAGTTTTTTTTCTAAAAATATCAATAAAATTGTATTTGTTGGTTGCGAAAGCTTGAAAATTTAATAGAAGGCTCCTAATATATTGTTTCAAAGGCAGATGAAAAATATTAAAAATCCTTAGTCACAATTTTTTTTTATAAGCATTTAAAGTTCAAAAATTGTAAAAATATGGAAAATTCACGAAAATTAGCGAATTATTTTGAGTTAAGAATTCGTAAAAATTTTTCTTTTTAAATCTAAGATTTGAAAATGTAATACAAGATTACTCATATGTTTGTCTACCTTTATCAATAAAAACATCTCTACCGGAAAGTCAAATTAAATTTTTATGAGCGTTTGAAATTCAAATTTTTACAACATTGGATGTTCACTCGATTTCTCATGTAGCGATTTCCTTATTTTGTTGTAATTCAAAAACGAATAACTGTAGATACATGAAAATTTCACTGAATGTTTATATTAGCATTTCCTATACACCATACAATTTTGAAAATATTTTGACTCTTTTTGAGCTGTTTATGGACATTTACAGCTTTCAATTT